GTAGAATATGAATATGCTAGGTCCCGTTGAAATTAAAGCACGGAGCCCACTGAAATTTGGGCTCAAAGTTGACCCATTTTGCTAGTAGTAAAACCATTTTCCAACAGATTCTTCATCGTGAATGTGCACCAGAACGTCTTTTTTCGTTCTCCCTTTCATATTTATCATCCGATGATCATGATCAGGAGGGCGTGGTTGAACTTGCTTATCCAATTAAAGTTGAGAGTTCGAGATATAAAACTGTTTCTAGATCTTGTAACGGATTGCTTTGCATTCACGATATTGCAGGCATTGTCTGCATATGGAATCCTTCAACCAGAGAAATGAGGAGACTTCCAGATTGTCCTAGAGCCAATGATAGAATCGCTTGTTCATTAGGTTATGACTCATCCTCAGATGATGACAAAGTCCTAAGTATTCACAAATCTCTTATAGGCGATCGTGTAGCCAGAACTGTGCTCCAATTATGTTCACTGAAAAGGGATTCCTCCTGGAGAAAAATTCTGGATCTCCCAGGCATGAAATTCAGCGTACGTGGTGGTTACGACTTCTTCAACGGAGCATTCTATTGGATTGAAAACAACATTGCCAGCTATTCAGAATGGGATGGACCTCTTGTGATTGCTTCATTTGATATAAAGGAAGAAAAATTTAAAGAGCTTGAACTATCACCACCAATTAGGTATTCAGATCAATTAACTGTATTCAATGTATCTGTATTAGGGGAAAAGATTTGTCTGTACAGCATATGCTCGGATGACTATTTTGATCTATGGGTGATAGAAGAATATAGTGTTATGAAGGAAATGCTTAGCATTCGCTTAATGAGATTCGGCAGTACATAGTACAAATTTTCAAGCCCTTGTATTTGTTTGAGGATGGTAAGATCATGCTTCATACAAAAATTAATGGGATAGAACAAGTAGACATTTACAAGGATGGAGATTCTGCACCGAAAACTACTGCTGTTACTTGCAAGATTCTGAAAGCATATATCTGCAATGAGACCCTCATTTCACCTCCAGGTTAGTCCCCTTTTGGCCCCCATTATCCCAAACAATCATGCTACATTAACATGAAGATTTACATATCATTCGATAATTTAAAACACAGTCATGAAATTTTTGAAATTTAGGGTTGCTCCTGATTTGAGGGCGGGGGCTTGTCATGAAATTTATGAAATTGCAGGCCCCCATCTGCAATTGCAGATTAAGGAGTCATGATGCAAATTTTAAATTTAGGGTCTGCTTGTAATTTTAGAAATTTCAAGGGCTTATTTATGATCTGAAAATAAGGGTAGATTGCAATTTTCAAAATGGTTTTGAATTTAAATATTAAATTTATTTTTGGACTAGACTTTAAAAGGGGGTTTGAGCCAAATAAATAAATAAATCAATCAATCAATCTTGACCTATTTAGAATTGACGATTTTTATATTATCGTTAAAATTAGATTATAACTTAAATATTAAACTTTGACATTAGATTGAACTTTATTTTATTTAGGACTTTTATCTTAAATTAAAGGGAAAATTGTAGTCGCGGTTCCAAACCTTTCCATTTTTTGCAGACTTTACATCAACATTCACTTTGTACCACCACATGTTCCAAACCTTTGAGAAATTCGCAGATGCAATCCAAAATGACAGGAAACGTTAGTTTCACCGTCAGTTGACCTCAAAAATGACAAAAAAAGGGAAAATTTTGACCAATTTAAACATGGGCATTTTCGTTCATTCTTTTCCCCATTTCACTGTGCTATCACTGTTCATTTCCCTCATTTTTCAGGTCTTATATATTATTCTTTTCTCTTTCCCATTATCGTAGGTGTGAATATAGAGAACAATGTATGTAAATGCGGTGACCCTATGCAGATGAAGACCTCATGGATAAACATGAACCCAGGAAGAAGATTTCTCACTTGCCCACAGCGTCACGATGTCTGTGGATGTAGCTTCTTTGACTGGTACGACCCTCCAATGTGTGACAGGTCGAGGGAGATAATCCGATTTCTACGTGTTAAAAGAGAGATGGAAGCCGAACTAAACACCCTACGTGGAAGAAGCCGTAGTTTATGGAAGACTTGGATATTAGGATTTGTATGTGGATTTTTTGTGAAATGGGTTTGTGCATAGATTTGTGTTAGGTGTATGAGCTCATATGTTGTGTTTGTATTTTGGAAGGTGGGTTCATGAGTTAGTAATCGAGTATTGTCTGTGATCTTGTAACTTATTTTCCATTAAATAAGTAAGACATATTATCGTTCAACAATCTTGCCCTAATTTTCATTTTGCACAGTTTCCTCCCCCCTATGAGCAAATACTTCAAAATGACAGAAAAAATATGTTCGAAAGCCCATTGTAGGTGGTGCATTCCAGGTCTCAAACGTTTTCAATAAGTCGTACATAAAGTCTCAAACCTTTTACTAAGTCGCGGGGTAGGTCCCAAACATTTGTTTTTAAATTCACATAAAGACCCAAACGTTTTGAATGAGTTGTACAGTAGGTCTCAAACCTGTTATGGAGTTTAGTCTTATGTCCCAATTCTTTACTTGAGTAAGAATATCTATTTCATCACTTTTGGTCACAATTCCAAAACTGTTTCATTTTCGAAGTACCCAGAACAAAATGATCCAAAAACAGTCACGAATTAAAGACAAAAGGAACCATTTTTTCATTTGAATATTCACATTCAATATCATCATTTTACATTATGTTTCATTCATCATACAAAAGCAAATCCAATTTGGTTCTACAAAAGATGTAATCACATATAAACTTCACCATACAAAAAGTTTTCTTCAAAAGGATCATCATACAAAAAGCTATGTTCTTTTTTTGTCCAGTTTTCTTCTTCTTTGCATGTGGCTCTGTGGGAGTTGAAGTCTTTCTCTTATCCTTGCCTTGTGATGAAGTTGACTGTGTATCCTGCTGTGTAGAGGCCTTTCTCTTTCCCTTGCCCTGTGATTGAGTTGGCTGTGTATCTTATTCTGTGTCCTGTGATAAGTGTAGTTTCTACACTTATTTGAAATCTTAAATGATAATATTTTAATGTTCTTTGGATAAAATACTACCTAAATTGTGTTATATTTCATTTTGTAGATAAAACTCAATGTTTGATGAAAAGTTGGAGAAAAGACAACGTATCTACACAGTGTTCTCTTCTTCTCCCAAACGATGTAAAATTTTTAAAGATAAGGTTGAAGGTTTGACACTTAAGCCATTGTCACAAACACGTTGGGAGAGTCATGTGGAAAGTGTTAAGCCAATAAAGGAGCAATGTGTACGAATAAGAGACGCTTTACTTGACTTGGCAAACATTGTTGAAGATGCTAAAACGAAGAGTGAAGCTGAGTCCTTAGCAACATATGAACTTGAGAATTTTGAGTTCTTGCTTGGCATGGTCATTTGGTATAAGTTGTTGTATGCTATCAATACCGTGAGTAAATTTTTTCAAGGTGAAAACATAGATATTGATGAAGCCATCAAGCTTTTAAAAGCGTTTATTTTGTTTCTCAAAAATTATAGAGAATTTGGATTTGTTAGTGCCATGGATGAAGCTAAACAAATGGCAACTGAAATGGGAATTGAACCTGTTTTTCGAGAGAAATGCAGCATTCGGCATTTCGATGAAAGTGGTAGTGAATGAGTAACACAATCAGCTGAAGAATCTTTTAGAGTTGATTATTTTCTCTT